CTGGAGGGAGTGGAGGGGGGGCTGCCTTGAAGTACCAGCTACAGCACTCGTTACTGCTAGGGAGCATTTTTCGATCTTCCTGCCCAGCTGGTAAGCATTTGTGAACTTTCCTCTATATTATCTGCACTGACACTTTTTATTATGGACTAAAGGAGAGTGAGGATATTAATAAGGTATATGTCTGAAAAGGAAAAATAAATGTTCTATGTTGGACTGTCTGAAGTTAACTGTTGTATGGTGTAACACTATACTACTGCAACGACTATTATTTTACTGTTTGTGTCTAGCTTGAATCTTGTATGTAAATGGAAGTGTATGAATTTGTTTACTGTCTAACTTCTCAAGTGTATATTTGAAGAGGATGAAAAATAGCTTTTTCTTGTTGTTTACTGTTTGCTAATCAGGATTGTCGATTCTCTTTTGTAGATTTATCTGGATTTAGAGTTATCTTTTGAAGATAACTAATGTGTCTCAGTGTTCTGATTTGTGCATTTCACTTTGAAATTTTGTTTATAATACTGTATAATGTTATTCACCAAAAAGAGTTTTATTTAGGCTAAGACGCTTGGATGCCAGAGGATGGTGTGGAATACACAGTGATGTATTTGACCCCTCTAATCAAGCAGCAAGAAAATGTAGTTTAGCTAGTTACGAATGGATGCTGTTGTTGCTAGTGTAGGTGTATAGTTTTTGGAAAGGAAAGATTTTCAGCTTGTTCTTGAAAGACAGCAGGGGAGAAAGGAGAGAAATCAGTTGCTCTGCTAGGGCAGTCTGATCCTTAGCTAAAACAGAATTTCAACTTTTCTTATGGAGACATTAATTAAATGTGGTGATTACTAGAGAAAGTTGACTGTGTTAAAAAAAGAATGTTCTTATTTCACCCAATGTTATATATATCTTGTTTTCCAAGACCAGCATGGTGTGGAGCCCTTGTTGCAGTTCAAACTGTCTTGGATTCAGGCCTTTGAATCTGGAAACTACTTATAAAAACATTGAAGTGAGTCTTGGTGTGGCAGAATCTCAAATGTGTGGTAGGCATAAAGTCACAGCCTCTTTTTGAATTGGTTCCCAGATTCATGCTTCTTGTGCTTTCTGATGGTTTTCATGCATTAGTGAGGAAGGTGTAATTTTCATTTGAACGAATTGAAGATAGTCATGATAATTTAACCTTGATTCCGATCTGTCCTATGACCTTCTCATCACTAGAAATAGTTTTAGTGAAGGCTTGCTTATGTGGCTGTACCACTACATTTTTATAGAATCGTAGCATCGATGCCCTTCTTGGCTGTCTTCCAGTTAGGAGTAGCTCTATACAGATTCAGCTGCTTCCAAAATAATGATTAAGCTGAGGAAATTCAGTGATGGTTCAGTAAACATTTCCATGGGGAGTTCAGTAACTGAGTTGCAGGATTTATAACACAATGTGACTTTCCCTATGGTGTGTCAGAGATGTGTATTTGCAATTGCTAGGTCTTGAGGTATGCTAATAAGCATTTTAAAAACAAGTCTTTTTGTCCCTCTTTCTTGAAGAAAGTGGGACTTGGAAGGAATATCTAACTGTAAGAGGAAAGGGTGAGAAGTGCCTTAAGAGACATTGTACTGTCTACCTTACTAGGCCTTTTTCTGGGTTATGGACTAGTCTTAGTGATCCTGTTCTTATGATCTGCTTTCCCAGACGTGTATCTGGGAGACACAGAGCTGACTGCAAGTCACAGCCACCTTAAAATGGCTCAGGGTTAGGTATTGCTAATGGTGTGAAAGCTAGAGTACAAGAAAGAGGAACTCTCCCCTTCTTTTAGAATAGACCTCCTCTTGTGGATTGCTCACTGCATACCATTTTAACTTGGTGGCCTTTTAAAGATCTCTAGCAACTTCCCCTGGCAGCCTGAGCTGGCAGTGCTGGCTTGGCTGGGTCGTCAGAATGCCTAGGTGACTGCTGTGCCAGTATATACCACCTTGTACTGAAGGTTTTAGTATGTGGTTAATTTCATGATATGGTTTTGATGCTTGCATATGATCTTTAAGCCCTTAACTTGTATGAAGTGGCTAAAAATCTTGTTCTCCAGAGGATCATCTGCTTCAGTCTTGGAAGTTTCCCAACAGCAAACATCAGCTTGGCAGCCCTTTTGTATGCTCATTCCCTTGGAGTTTGGATACTTATCCAAACATAAAGTGGTATTATGCATAAAATGGAGGTGCGGGGGTGATCCTGCACCTGTAATTACTCTGTATAATTGACCTAGACACCATTGGGTATGTATTTCTAGTTGGCCCTTGTGAAAGCCCACATGGTTTATGCTGGCAACCCGTGGCAACTGGTATTGCTGGAGCAGCTGTGAGCAGTTTTTATGCAGTGAGGAGAGCTCGGGTAGGGCAGGATCCCTGACTTAGGGCAAGCCCATGAATGTGCAGCCTGGGAATTCTGCTAAGGAGGACTGCAGATCCTTGTGGAGAGGCCCAGGGCTCCTTATGAAGAAGCTGCTGCATAAGTAGGAGTTTCTGCTACTGGGGCCAGCTGTAGGTGGGTGTGACTGCTGCAGCCACTCTGTACTCACTCCTCTGAGGTGCTTTGTGACTCAGCACTGGGGCTGGGAACCAGCGTGGCAGGGAACAGTGTGAAATGGTGGGGGGATGCTGCTGAGCTGTTAGACTGTGGGGGGGCTAAAGTCTGCTCAGTGAGGGGTTTGCTCATGGTATGGATAGAATTTGCTTTAAAGGATTTTGTTGACTTAATACATGTGTTGTTGGCTATTATTCGTGTTTGTAAAATGCGTGGTGGATTTACTGTGGTGGTGTATTTAGACCACTGTGGTATTTAAAAAACCCCAACTGTGCCTTGAGTACTCTGAACAAAGTGTAGTGTTACTGCATCCACGGTATGGGATTGCAGTAAATTAACTACATTGGTGTTGTGAAGTTTTGAAGTGACTAATATCAAACTGTTCAAGCCATCTGGTAGATTTTCATCTTGTTTTTTCCTTTAAAAAGGGACATGATTGTATCTTACAGAATGAGAAATGAACGAATATGCGTGTATTAAGCAGAAATACATGAAAAAATTTTAATGATCTCGATAGAGTTTGGGAGGGTATAGTAAATAGAGACAACCAACCAAGACTCGTGTGCCTGATTGAGTACAGTCTTGTAATTATATTATACTTCTTGCATACATTACAGGAAATTAAGTGTGTCTGTTTTTATAAATGTATATCATAGTCTAAATTCTGGAATTCACTAACATACATAACATGTAAAGTCACATCATTTTGTTGTTACTTATTTACATCACAGTCATGTGATGTTGTGAGTATTGCTTTGACAAGCAAGTTTACCACAAGTTACTCTTGTGGTAAGTCATTTCACCTGGCTCTGAGCATGCAGGGTACTTACGGTGTAGGCCTAATTGTCTTGCAGGCTGTATTTGAGGACAAGACTTTTTCTTTCTCCCATCCTTCCCAGATCTTTGAAGAGAATGGCGTATGGTTTTATCCACAGTAGTGTAGGAAAAAGTTCACGGCTATCAGTGGCTCAGGTTTGCAGTAACTCATGCATGTGCAAATCAGCCTTTAACCTTTGTAGGGTGCTAAGCAGATTAGTTGTGGTGTATCTCTTTGCTTTTGTGATGGACTGTTTTTCTAACTTGCAGGGTTAGAGGTAGGGAGGAAGAAGTTTGAGCTAGTAGTTTTGTCAACACTTGTATAGTTGGAAGGCTCAGAAGATAGTATTCATGTTCTTTCTCCCATTCTGTACCATGCTCTATCATTTAGTCATCATCTTCTGCATATGTGGCTCTCAGAAGACATAAAAAAATACATATATTTTTGAAATGGCTCCATTCATTCCCACCTATTTGTCCACTGTCATGAAAGATCCTGTTCTTCATTGTAGTTGCCCATAAGATACGGTCTGTGCCATTTGCCAAGCACTTGACTTCCTGTTTAGATCACTATATGGTATGTGAAGCTAATGGTATATAATGTACTATCCCATGGTGTTAGAAACTTCTCAGTAGGCAGGGAGATGTGTTTGGGATATCTAGGCTTTTCCATGATGCACAAGAAAATGATTTTTCTTAGCTTGGTGTGATTTATGTGAACGTTTAAAACTCAGAAAGAGGAAAGCATATGAAGAATAACAAAAGAATTTTTACTTGCTTAGAAATTTTTGAGGAATGAAAGGCCTTAAAAGCAGAAAATTTAAAATGAAGTTGTGCAGGGTTTAATGGATGGTCTTGCTTAACTGAATTAGAACTGTTAAGGCATAACTGGTGATGAGCTTAGGCACAAATGTAGATGTAATAGGTGTTGAGAATTCTCGCTTCTTATTTCCCAGCTGTTCTTTTTTGTTCAAGGATTGTCATGGTGGAGGAGGAAAACTGTGTTACCTTGAGAAGCAGTTTTAAGGGAGGCCAGAAGCAGGTGGTGGCCTGGGAAATGCTGCTTCTGGTATTCAGGTGTTGATATGTATATTGCAGAGACTCGGGTGCAGGAAAATTAATCTACATGCACAAATAGAAATAGTTACCTAGAACCAGTTACAAGTAGAGTCAAAAGGGTTAGGAAAACAGCATTGTTCCAGTGAATGTAAAACCTGATTTTGTGTATCTAATTGTGTAGGCTATTGACAAACCTATTTAAACTTTCTGACTTGAGGAGAAAATCTTAATTTCTGAATTGATACTGTAGGATTTCTCCAACCATCAACAAATAAAAAGGCTACTTGTTGGTTTGTAGCAGAATGAGGTTTGAGAGTAAGACTAGCAAAGGGACATACTGCATTCTTTTAACTAGAAGGGCAAAGTGAGCTTTATGCTGTGTGAAAAAGGGAATATGCATATGGTTTCCTGAAATACTTCTGCATCTGAACTATGCTGTGGTCCTTGTTGTGGGCAACTTGACTTTTCCGCTCCCCTCTCCTTTCCCCTTCTATCTCCTTAGAATGCAACGGTTATTTTCTTTGAAAACATGCATGGTGAACAGTCTTTTTCTTTTTTCCTTCAGGGACCAGTTACTCTCCACAAGAAAATTCACATAACCACAGTGCTCTTCATAGTTCAAATTCACATTCTTCTAATCCCAGCAATAATCCAGGCAAAACTTCTGATGCAGTGAGTATTTGTGATTGGTATTCACCCCTGTGTCACACCATTCATACATGCTATATTTCCATTATTTTGTCTAAAACAGGCAGCATGTACATCACCTGATTTGTTGAGTTTTCCAAGATCAGTCTTTATTTTAAACACTCTGTAAACCCTAGCTGCAGTTGCTATATGGTGTAAAACTATTCTAATTTATAGTCATTAGAGATTTGAAGTAACGGTCTTTAATTTTAAAACACTAGTTTGTTTAAATGAAGTAGATACTGACAGAAATATTTTCCATGAACTTCGCTGGTAAATCTAGAGAAGACAGTGTGATTTTGCAGAATGCAGCAGGGAGTGGTAGTGGTCGCATCTTTAACCTATCAAAATGACATGGGCATTTAGACATGGTATAAATGGAAAGCAGTGATATGGGTGTATGTGAGCATGCCATGTAGTTTTTGAAATAGTGAAAGCTTTTAAATTTGTATATTAAAACTTTCAAGTAGTCTTTTGTCCAACACTGTTTGTATTTTAAAGGCTTACGATTCTGCGGATGATTGGTCTGAACACATCAGCTCTTCAGGCAAAAAATACTACTATAACTGCCGAACAGAAGTTTCACAATGGGAAAAACCAAAAGAGTGGCTGGAAAGGTATATGTGTGTGTCTGTTTTTGTTGTATAAATAACAAATACTCTTAAGATAATTTAAGACCAGTTGAGCTTATCTAATAGATGACTCATATAAAAGATTTTGGTCGAAGTCTACTGTGTTCCTACCATTATCAGAATCTCTGAAACCTATTTTACCCCTTGATGATCCAGAGTGGGAGGGGGTAGTATGGTTGGTTTAGTTTTTTGGTGAGGTGGGTGGTTGCTTGTTTTGGTTTTGGTGGTTTTTTTTGTTTGTTTGTTTTTGGTGTGGTTTTTTTTTTCTGGTTTTTTTTTTGTTGTTGTTGTTGTTGGTGGTGGTGGTTTTGGTTTTGGTTGGTTTTCTTTTTTTTTGCTTGTGTGTGTGTGTGGTTTTTGTTGTTACTGGGTTTGGGGTTTTTTGGTTGGTTTTTCTCAGTGTTAGCGAGCTAAACTGATATATTGGGGTTTCAACAAGCACTGGTGAAGGAAGCAGTGACTGGAGTTTGCCTATACCCATCTGTAGCAGCAAGCTCTTAGGATAGTTTAATTCATCTCATGTAATTTCACCTGTACAAAGTATTGTAAGTTCTTTCTTAACTTGTGTTTTCTTTTCTTCAGAGAGCAGAGACAAAAAGAAGCAAGCAAAATGTCAGTTAACAGTTTTCCAAAAGATAGGGATTACAGAAGAGAGGTGATGCAGGCGACAGCTGCCAGTGGGTTTGCCAGTGGAAGTATGTGGGTTTTTTTACAGTAATATATTCTTGCCTTGTTTTCATTACTGTTTTCTTTTCCAGACTTAAAAAAAAAAAAAAAAAGCCCTTCCTTTAGCTGTTTTTCTCACCTTTTTATATAAAAAGGCCAAAGTGGGTAGCACAGACAGCTCTTGCAAATGTTCTTAAAATAACTTTGAGCTTTTACTATTAAAAAAACGCTTAATGCTTTTCATGGTGATCCTATTTTTTGCAGCTTTTACTGCCTAATTTAGTTATCTTTATAGGTAGGTAGTGAAACAACTTGCACAGTTTATGGTATAGTTGGACTGTCATGATCACTGAGACCTGTCAATGTCATATTCTGAAGTTAAAAATAGAGATGCAGAAGTCTTTTCCAAAACCTTGGTTTCACATCTGAAAATGATAAACTAATTTAATAGACTATGATACCAAGGCTTTCAGAGGCTTTTGTACATTATCGAAAGCAAATATTTACCATGCCAATACTCTTAAAAAAACCTCGCCTAGACTATGAATTTCTGTTACTGGAGTTTTATTGTTTTTTCTCATACCTAGCTTTAATCCTTGTCAGTTTGTTGTTTTTTTGTTGGGTTTTTTTTTTTTTTCCAGGGAAATATTTGTACTGTGAGATTCTTTCTGTATGCTGCTGTAGTTTGGGTGAATTTGTAGCGTAGTTCTCAGGATGTTTGCAAAGAAGCCAAAGTATTAATATTTCCCTCCCCCCATCCCTCACCTTTGCTTGAAACTTGACAGGGAAGAGACTTAGAAAGGACTGTCTTTCTGTGTATGCTGAAACATACTACATATGCTAAACATACTTTATGCTACAAAAAGCAGAAATGCATATTGCAGTAACTGCTTGTTTTGTGGCAGGTGGAAATCTAGGATCAATAAAAAGAATCAGTCTGTGTTTGCTTGGTATGTTCCCTGTGTAGCATATTTTAAAGTCTCTGATTGCATGACGAATGCACGAGTCACTTAATATATAGTTTTCTTGAATTAATTCAACTGAAAGGGAATTCTTTGTAGTAGTACTCAAGTGACTTGAAGTGAATTCTTTGAAGGCTAGAATTTAAAACTTGAATTATACTCAATGTTTAGGATTTTCAATGAACAAAAGAAAAATGGCACAAATTATCTCTTCATGCTAAGTGTAAGAGGGAAATAATAGATTTTTATTTAGGTTTTTTAGGAGACTTCAAAAATTAACTTGACTGTAACAGTGGTTATAAAGCAGCCTCTCATCAAAACACAGTGTTTAACCGGAACTCTGTATCAAGCAAAGGTCAGAGAAAATGCATTTTGTCAGTGAGTAGAACTCATTTTTGCCTTTTTTGATGCTGATCTACTTGGGGCTTTCTTTAATCATAAGCAGTTCAATCAGCTCTAGTCTTTGTGCAGCAGTATTAATAAAAGTCACGGCAGTCTTAGACAAGTTTCTAATTTAATCTTTTTTTCTTTCTGCAACGTTACTTGGGGAATCCTGACAAAAGTGGAAGACAAGCATTCCAGCGACGCCAGTAGTATGCTCCCACAGAATATTTTATCTCAAACAAGCAGGCACAATGACAGAGACTACAGACTGCCAAGAGCAGAGACTCACAGTAGTTCTACTCCAGTACAGCATCCCATCAAACCCGTGGTTCATCCAACTGCTACCCCAAGCACTGTTCCTCCTAGTCCATTTTCTCTACAATCTGATCACCAGCCAAAGAAATCCTTTGATGCTAATGGAGCATCTACTTTATCAAAACTGCCTACATCCACATCTTCCATCCCTGCACAGAAAACAGAGAGAAAAGGTATGTATAATGAAATTACTTCTGTTATTTAAGATGATTCATTGCATTTGCATTGCTTGTTCAAAGTATGTTAGTTCCAGAATTCAAAGATTTTTTTCCCTGTTGATTGTGTGTGCTTAGAACCAATTACTGTTTTGATGTGTTTATTTCCCCTTAAGCCACATTTGCTATATCTTACACGTATTCAAATTGACACTGCAATATTTGCTTTTTACTGGCTTATTCTGCAAATTATAATTTCAAATGATAATTGTAAGACATATTTTAGTAGGAAATTTTCATTTTTGTCCTCCCTCAAGTTGTTTTGAACCTTTGACATTATTTGAGTTCTTAACATAGATGTAGTTGCACCATGTGAAAGTCATTTCACATGACCATTATGTTTTATGAACTGTTTGGAATGTCAGGGTCATCAAACTTTTCAATAAACACAAGTGCAGTTCTTCCAGAAAGCAACACAGTTTTCCACATGTTTGTAACCGCTACTCTTCTGTTTTGATCTGTGTCCTGTAACATACTGGATCTTCAGTTCTAAAGCTGCTGGAAGTTCGTGTTTCTGCATAACACGTACCAGAAACATTTAGTTATCAAGTAAAGATCAGGACTATATGTGCATTGTTTGTGACTCTTCAAAAGCCTGTATTTTAGTTGGATTTACTTCATTTTTAGGGAAGAAGAGCTCAAGACAATTGTCAGAATGGACATGTGTGTTATTAGAGATAGTATGATACTTTAGTACAGCTGAGTTCTTGGAGTGTAAGAGAATTATATTTTGGAGGGGTTTTTTTGGGGGAGGGGAAGTAATTCTTGATAAACTTGTCTGGTTTTCACTTAAAATACTATATAATTATTATGACACTGAATTCCTTTTTTATTTTTTGGGGCTTTTTTTGTGGTTTTTTTTGTTTTGTTTTGTTTGTTTACATCTTGAGATTTGCAAGCCTGTCTAGTTACAGAAGAGTAGTGCAGTGCCAAAGAAAACCCCAAAAAATACTGTGGTCTGACATTGGTCTTATACTCTGTGTTTGTTTCTCTGCTTTCCAGTTTTCTTTATTAAAGAAGTTCAGCTTTTACACAGAGATAAGTGTACATGGCCATCCAAAATATCCAAACAATATTATAAATTAACAAATACTACAATGTAAGAAAATTGTGCATGTAAAAAAAATTTGTTTTTCTTGAGATTTTATGTATATTTTACATTGCCTTGCACCTGAATGTTCACTATAAACTACAGAGAAACAGAAGATTTTCAACAAGTGTTTTTCTATTCAACACAATAAAGAAAGAAGTGTTAGTTGATGCATGGTTCTTGTACTGAATGCCATAGTCACTTGCTTCTGTTTGGCTTCTACGTTTTGATTGCAGTTTGATGTGTTTTTAAAGATGACAGTGCAAAACATGCATGTCAGATGTTCTGTCCTTTGTTTATCCTATTTTCACTACTATCTTTAAAATACACTCAAAGAAAATGGTTTTATTACTCAGTTCTGTTCTGTACTTGATTCCTCCTTGGTGTGTGATCAGACTTCAAACTGGATATTCTTTCCTTGCTTTACAATATACCTTTGCTAGTTGCTTCCACTTCAATTGAGCAAACTGAATCTTACTGCAACTGAAGGAATTTTCCAGTGTGACAACCACTGCAAATGTCGGTAGGGAGTTGTAGTAGTTCTTACATAGGACATTCATTTGAGAATATATGGTTGTGTATGAATACATGTTTTCACACCCTGTGTGAAAATGATCACACAGGGTGGTCTTGACACTGTAAATTTTGCTTTAGAATCTGTGTTACCATGGATGGTTACATATTAAATAATCACTTAATTTCTGTATTCCTACATAGGAATGGGTTAAATGGATAGATTCTCTGTAATAGACCTCATGGATGTGTTTCATGCCACTTCATTGTGAGCAAATGTAATACTGAGCTTTAGACAGGGTAGACTACTAAAAGCTAGTAAGTAATTGAAGACTTAGAATAGGTGAATGTTAGGCTTGGAGTACTCCAGGAAATGTGAGTTTTCCCTTGAATTTAACACTCTTCTTACAGAACCAGAAAAATCCAGTGCAGCTTATATCATAAGAGATCATTCAAAGAGTACATTCAGTTGTGTTGCCTTTCTTTCTTTGTGAATGCTGGACTTTCTTTCTTATTCTTTTTTAATTTGTAAATAAATTTGGACAGTAAAATTTCTGTAGCATTTTACATATCTAAATTTAAAAGATGGGAGAAAGCAGTGCTGTACCATGGGCTGGTTTTTGGATAGCGTGCTTCTGTTACTCCGTTTTCCAGAGGTGACTGTGAACCTGTAGTACCATAGGTGCACAGTTTTCAAAGTATTTGTTTGCAGCTGTAATACAAAATAGAAAAAAAAAATAAAAATTGGCCTGAGACATTTGGTTCAGACAATCTCCTAAAAGAATCTTTGTAGAATTGGAAAATAGTTTGAGAGGTTTATTTTTACAGTAGTAAAGCAAAACAGCCTTTGGTTGTTTTTCTGTTCACTAGCTGTGCCATCCCTCTCTCTTTATGAAAAGAGGTAAAGCTGTGGGTTTTGCTTATAAAAATAGTTTGGTGCAAATGACTGATTGATACATGCAGTAGTCCTTGCCTAAATGAGTTCTTGCTTTTTGTCAATGTATTGCTGGCAGCCTTATGCCAGCATGTATGTACCACTGTTTTAATAGTTCCGTTTTTAGTGTGTATTTTTTAATGTAGTAGTAGTTATGAACAACAAAACAACAAAAAAAGCACAAAAAACAACAACAGTTTTTTTCAGCTCAATCTCTTTTGCTGCAGGGGTATGTTGTAGTCCCACAAGGAGATTGAATAAAATCCCTGGCTGAACTATAGCTCAGCTGTTAGCAGTAGTCCTCTGCCCTCAATGGCTGGCAGTAGTGGAGAGTTCCTGGGGAACTATTTGACCTCTACCCTTTGGTTTGAATGTTCCAGTCAGAATCTGCTGCTTCTGTTTGTGCTCACTGTGAGTGCTTTATGCAGGTAAAGTGTGGGGTTGCTTTTCCTACTTTTTGGCTGCTTTATCTGTAGGGCACATCACATTTTCCTATTTCTAATTCAGTTACTGAATGAAATGTTGTATTGTCCTATCTAACAGTGTGTCTGTCTGTAGGATACTTCTCACACATATCCTCCCAAGTCCCATCAGGCAACACTTTTTTTTCTAGTACAGCAGTACTCTGAAGCAAGCTGGTCAGTGCAGTGCTGGGTGGGTTGTGACCCTGATGCTGACACACTAAAGCAGTTGGTCAGTGACAGCTGGGCTTCTCCCTCACCCATTTCTCACCCCTGTGGTTTTCTTACTTGTAACACTTGCTACTCTTTAGCAGTTATTAACATTGCTCCTCATATCATTGCATCTTCTTTGGTGGAGTTTTGCAGTTTTAAGTATATTACTCAATTCATACAGTGGCTAGAAAAGCCAACGCTAGTGAGACTGTTAGAGGTTTCTTGTGGTACTTCATACTTATTTGCTCAGCATTGCTGTTACATTTATTTTGGCAGCAGAGAAAATATGAAAACTTAGTTTTAAGACTGGAGTAATCCAGATGAGAAAAATATGGATTTTTTTTTTTTTTTCTTTATTACAGATAACTTGAGAGTATTTGAGATTCCAGTTACTGTTGCCATAGTTTTATTTGGCCAAATATGTTTGCAAAATGCACGGCTTTTAAATATTTATCTGTTTTATTTTGGCTTAAGGTCCGTAGTAGGTCAGAACAGAACTATGTAAAAAAGTAAGTCTGATTGTCACTGCTCAGAGAATTTAGTTGGTGACTGTACGCTTACGGTACTTAGGCACAGAATAATGCGTTATGATTCTTAATCATCAACGGTAAATCAGGCAGTTCAGTTAGCTGTTGTAGGTAGTGGTTGTTTAATCAGCATAGCTTGCAGAGATAAAATTTATGGGGCAATAAGGCATTGAATTTCTGCAAATTTTGTAATGCAGTTTTCCTCCCACAGAGAGTACCCAGTGAGAACACATGTGCATGACTTGCTAGCAGAGCAAAGGTACTGCTCAAGCTCACAATACAAGTGATTAATATCATAGTGTTGATTCTGAAGGACTTTGAATGCATTGGTTTTGTTCTAGATGACATAAAAAAACCCATCAGTAGTAATAGCTGTTGGAATACTCAAAGAGTCACACTGATAAATAAGGATAATCCAGTCAACAGTAATGGGTAATTTCCATGTCACTATTTCAACAAAGATTTTTCTTTTTTAAATCAGCTGTCCATATATGCGGAAAAATAAGCGCAGGCTATATATAGCAGCATTTTGAAACTACTCACTGCATAGGGAGTGCTAGTATTTTAGTTGTCAGAAGGACTGTGAAGGAAGTTAGTGCACAAAAAAATTCATTTCCTCTTTTTGTCTTCCCCTTTCCCCGCCTTCTCTGTCACACTAACATGTCCGAGTAACTCGGCACACCATGGATGAGAGTAGCAGGAGTAGTAGGAACAGGTAATGAAAGGACTTCCGCAGATAGAACAAGGTGACCGAGGCACAAGAGGTGCAGGAGTGTTGCTGTCAAGAGCTCTTTGTTGAAATAGAGAAGCTGAACAATCAAAAGACTTGGTTTTTCACCCCCCTGCATTAAACCTAGTCTGAATAACTTCATTTTAACTGTAACATTCTAGGCTGAGAATCACTTTTCAGAATGACATTCATTAGTGGACCAGCTGTTCACTTAGGAGCAAAGATTCTTGTCATAAGGGGCAGAGATTGGTGATAGCAAGATTCAGCAGCACTTTAATATACTGCCTCAAACTCTGAGAAGCTAAGCGTTTGCTGCCTTCTATCTAGGTTGTAATTGAAGAACATTGTGGCACAACTGCAGACAATGATCTGTGGTATTTTTTCTGAAGGGATTACTTGGCCTTGTAATTAAAAAATCCACACTGCTAGGTAATACGGAGTGTAACATTTCCATTCTGACTTAAGGTGATGTTTCTGGGGCAAGCACTAGCCTCCAGTTTATTTCAGTTCAGATACCTCTTTGTAAAACCTGCAGCAAAGACAGATCTTTGTCGTAAAGGTTCTGGTCATAGAATACTGACTGGTAACTTGGACTTCTCTCTCTTTTGTCTGAAAGATGTGATTGCAGGTCATACTCCAGCAGAACAGGTAATGAATAGAAACCCCTTTCCTAATCATTGTGGTCTTCAAAAATTATTTTCATTATAAAAAGTTTTGTTTTTTTTTTTTCCCTTACTCCATTTTAATGTAAAACCAATTAATAGTTACAGAATCATAGAATGGTTAGGGTTGGAAGGGACCTTAAGATCATCTAATTCCAACCTCCCTCATTAAGTTAATCTCCACATCTAGTTTTTTTTATTTGCCATCTGATTAGTTTTTGGATGGCTTTATTTCTTGCTCATTTTTTTCCATATGATTAAAGTTGACAGTCCAGAAACTTGCTTATTTCTATATTGCAGATTTATAATAGTTTGTTTACATGCTTGTCAGAAAGCATACAGTATTTTTTTTACTGTTGCAACAAAGCGAATGGAATTTTTTTTAGTCATTTTCTTAAAAGCTCCAGAAGTTGAAACTTTAATGTGCTTAGCTTATCATGTAAAAATGAGTGCAAAGTCCTTTTCAAAATCACAAACAATTGCTTAAGAAATAATAAATTTTTTATTTTTTTGGAGGAAGAGCTAGAACATAAACTCTAATAAAGTTTTCAGCAGTTCAGAATATTGCAGTGGGCTGTTATGCTTTTGGTTTTAATATGATTTGTAAAAATTATTACAAAAGCTTTCAATGGGACTTTCATGATAGTTAATGAAATTTTATGTGAGGCTGAAGAGTCATTTGCATAGCATTTGTATGGAAACTGGTGTTGGCAGGGAGGAGGCTGCAGAGTTGCCCTGTAATTTGCACTTTCTTTTTGTAAAATTTCAGTTGTAGGTTCAAAAATCACTCTGCTTGATGTATTAATGGTTCAGATTAGGTTTATGAATGACTGCTGTGTAATCCAAAGCCTTATTTTGCAATAATACTGTAGCTAGCTTGTTAATGAACTTGACTTTGTGTTGACAAAGGCGTAGAGATCAGTGTATCAGAGTTGTAAAACTAAAGGACTTAGATTTGTAAAGATACGTAACTTTTCTCAGTATGCTGTGTTCATTTTGACTGTGTTTCATGGTGGTTGAGGCTTCAAAGGCATTTTAAAATTACAGGACTGTGTAATTCTAAGCTTTTTAAAATCTTAGTAAATGTTTTTGAAACTAGGGAATAGTGTTTAAGTTTTGAAAAGTAAATTTAATTGTGTGGCAAAACATACAATGAAACAGTCTCTCAAAGCAGATCAGAAAAGGGGAATTAGGGAAGAGAAGAAGGGAATTAGAAGTTTCTATTTGTGGAAAAAGCAGGGGAAATGCTTACATCCCAGTGAGTGATAACTGAGGATTTTTAAGAGACGAACATTTAATCCTGAGAAGTGTTGAGTAGTGTTAACTTTAAAGATAAAACTTGTAATTTCTATGTAGCATCATAAATTAAACCAGCTCTAAAGATTTGTAATTATATTATACAAAAAAATGGATGTGTAAATATTTAGAAGCTTTGTTTTATAGGCGGTGTTTCTTGGATTTATTTCTGTGAAATCAAATGTCAGGTCTGGGAGCCGTGGAGTAAGATAGGGTGCTTTAAATTAAGGTAGTGAAATTTGTAATTATATAGAGCTAATCTGTAGTCTGTATTTTTTTTTCTTTAGCAAGTTTGTTTTCATCACAAAGGAGTTTCCCATATAGAGAGGAAAATATCCATTCATGCTACCTAATATAAACAAGAAATACTCTTTATTTCCACAAATATTTTTTACATTACTTTTTTTTCCTGTCAGAAACAAGTTTATACCATTTATTTCACTATGAATAATTTAAATTAATTTGTGGAGTGCAGTGGTGCTCTTGAGCATTCATTGTACTCCATATCTTCTATGATGTTAAATAAGAATTGAAATATGATGTGCATGCAGATAGTCATGATGGTAGTAGAAAGGCATGATCTTAGAGATGTATTCAATGTTTGGACTGTTGGTTTTGGAATGTTAACCATCTCAAAAGATTGGAATGTTAGCATTTGACACTGTCCTTTCTTTCACATAATTTTCTCTAGGTGTTTAATCCGGGTGATCATACAAAACATGTCTTTCATAGATATATTTTAATGCATACTGAAAATGCCTGCAGTAACACAGCTACAGAATAGTGTTTTCATATTGTCTAACAGAAAACTGGACTGTGTTTTGTTGATGTAATTCAGTTTGTATTTTTATAGCAGGGAAACTTACCCAAGCTAAAGTAGTTTCACAGACCTTTTAAAATTCACTAGTTTTGTATGACGTATTTTGAGAGTCCTTTTATTCAAGAAATGAGTAAAAACCCAGAACTGAACTGGTCTTAAGGTTTCTCTTCACTGCATTGTTAGCTTGAGTTTGTCTTTTATTAAGTTTATTTTCTGTTCAAAACTGCAGCATGGGTGAAAAATACTTCCAGCTGTTTGGTATGGTGGTGTGGTTTGAAGCTCAGGTATTGTTTATGTGAATTAATAATACAGTAGTAAGTTGCTTCTTTACTTAAAATAACTCAGTCTAACTGCGAAGACAATCCTAACTAAATATGTTTTAAGCCGGCTGTTGCTTAGGTTTTGGGTTTTTTTCCTGTTTTGTTTGTTTTGAAATTAGGGGACTTCGGTTTTGTTTGGGGTTTTTTCATAAAATTCTCCAAACTGTAGGCTAGGAGACTTGTATATGTAAGTACTAACATGCTCCGTTGTGCCCAATTCATTTGCTTTTGTATGCCGGTGTGCCTTGTTCTTGTTTGGACTGTGACAGGTCCAAGTTTAAACGTACCATGTTTGGTATGATAAGATTCTTCTTTGCTTCATGTGTCTTGAGTTGCAGTTCTCTTTAAGTTTACTTTGAACACTATAGTATGTAGTATTCTATAACAAAGACTGCTACTAATGACATACTCTTTGGGGGGGGGGCGGGGCTAATACCTAATCAGCTGTCCTAGTCACATGTTACTGAAAAACATTTCTTGTCCCTTTTTAAGTTCGTCTTACGAAAGGTTCTGACCAAACAACCAGGTTGCTTTATAGATTGTCCTAAGGAGCTTGTAACTAGATAAAGCTGCCTTTGAGAAATTTTTCTGATACATCAAAATATGTTTGTGTGTTCTGCCTGATGCATCCTTGCAAGCTGTCAAATTTGGATTCTTCAGTGGTTTTCTTTGGTTTTTCTTTGGTTTAGATTTCTCAGCTACTTGACTAGAAAAGGCTTTTTTTCCCTGTATTTACGGCCAGTTATGAACTATTACTACTGTAACTGCATGGAAGCTGGAGGCCCTTTCTTTTCACTGAGATTTCCAGTCTCATTTGGTTTACATATTGATACTTCCTGGAGTAATTTATTTTATTTTTAATTTTTTAGGGTTCTTATCCAAATTAGTCTCAAAAATTGCAATTGAGGCTGTCAGAAAACAAAAGCTTTTAGAAATTTTCATTTTTCTTCTTTACTAAAAGTTCTCCTCTTTTTACCTTATCACCACTCAAAGGCGTGAAGTACGTCTTTAGAGTAAAAAGACTTACCCAGCCAGTTATTTTATCTTTTGTTTGGACTTTTGCATCCAGGGTAAGATCTTGGATCCATATCCATCTTTCCACTCTTCATCCAGTCTGGTTGGTGCTGTAGAGCCGTTAGTCTTCACTGAATTCAGGGCAGAGGCCTCTGATGGGCTTAATGGGGATGAGAGAAGGGGAAGCTAAAATTGAAATACAGTGGTCCAGGCTTCTTGAAGGAATGATGTTTGAAGTGACTGATGGTACTCCTGTAGTAAGTGGAAATACTTTCAGTGCAGTAATTTCTCACGGTACTGGAATGGAGGAGCAGCTTTTATGTTAACTGAAAGTAAAATCTAAAATTAATTATATAACTTACTAATTAGAACAAATTGCCATACAGTATAATTGAATTTAAGCGCTAAACATTTCTTTAGATAATAAGTGTTGATATTTAGTGATATTTATATCCTTTAATGAATTTAATTCCGCTGCTTCAGGAGAAACTGACAGGTTTGAAATTAATTGTGGGTAGTTACATTTTTAGATGTTTTTCCACTCTGCTGTGGGGACATTAACAGCTTTTGGTTTATATTTCTAGTACAGCTCATAATCCTGTCTATGAATCCTGAGCAATGTGGCTAGATTGTGTGATAGACTGCGTCTTTGTTTGTAGCTTCTTGTGGTCTGGTCTGTGAATAAATGAAGCATGGCTTATACGCTCCCTTCAGATTTGACACACTAGCCCATCTGTAAAGCTCATGGACTATAAGTTTTTTGTTCGTACTGTGTTTTCCAAAGAAAGGTCAGAATAATGAGTAAAAACATGAAATACGAGTATAAGCACAGTAAAAGAAGGAAATTACTAAAGAATTTTTGTCCCATATTTGTTAAAATTTAGAGGGGGGAAAATCCCATTTCTTATACTGGCAGCTTTCAGTCCAGTATCTTGAAGTGGAGAATTGTGTGTGTGCTCCTAATAAATACTAGGTTCATTAGTGTAAATTACACTAGATGCAGAATATCTTCAATTTTTGTTATATTAATGTTGGGCTTGGTTTTTTTTTCCTTATAACAATAGCTAAGCATTTGATCTTCTGAATTTAATATGAATATTGTACTAGTGAGAAATTGTCAGCTTATATTGGGGAAAATGAAAATTATTGTCTGTCTTCTGTTCAGAGTCTGCATCTGTGGACAAGTCTGTATCCCATTCTTGCACAACTCCTTCTACATCTTCTGCTTCTGGACTGAATCCAGCTTCTGCGCCTGCTTCATCTGCTCCTACAGTTCCCGTCTCACCTGTCCCGCAATCACCAATTCCTCCGTTACTTCAGGACCCAAATCTCCTTCGACAGCTGCTGCCTGCTCTGCAAGCCACCTTGCAGCTTAATAATTCTAGCGTAGATATATCCAAAATCAATGAAGGTAAGGATTCTTTAAAGTTGATGTCGTCCCTTTCTTGCACACATGAGTATATTACTGGATGCTAAACTGTAGTAAATGCAAGCCCTACTTTAAATGAAAAGTGAATAAATGAATCCCTAGATAAAGTGGGGATTGTCACTGGTTTTTGTTCTGTTAAACCTTTTGAAATGAGCCAAGTAACATTTAAGGGTGTTAAGCTATAATTGCTGATGTATGGGAGCAGTCTAATTGAGACTGGTAACTTAATTGCTGTATCAGCATTCATCTGTTGCACAAAATTTAGTTAGAGCTTTTTGTTCTTTTGTTCCGTGCAGTGTTCTTTGTCTCCTGTAGTTCGTGCTGCTATTCTAATAATACATGTTTGCGAATGCTGAAATTTCTAGGGGTTGTTAAATCTTGTTGCCTATGAACTTTTTTCTTTAGTACATGTTAGCCTCTCTGAATAAAGGTAGCACATCAGTAAGTTTGCTAGCAAGTTAAATTTTGTGCATGCAATTCATGTATCCCTTAGATTTTTATCACGTTGGCCTAGTTTTTACAAGAAAGTTTTTAACTACCTGTAGTGCCTTTCAGTGCAAGAACAGGCAGAGTTGATGCTTTTGGCATGTAGTTTTATCTAATGCAGTGTGTGGATATGGCACGTTACTGATGAAGAAACTGGTGTGGGATTTTTATTTGCTTCCTGTAACTTGTGTACTCACTGATTACAGATTTAATAGGAAGCCAAACATTTACATATAGTGCCCAGAGTTAATTGACTTCTTAAAAGTGTAAACCATGGAAGTCAGAATAGTAAAATCTTACTATTATGTACATTACAATTACTTACAAGGAAAAACTGCTATTTGACTTCCTTTTAATCAGCAAATATGATGGCTTCATTCAGTACTAGTAGGTGAGTAGGTTATTGTTTCTTCCTGTGCACGGCAAACCTTTTAAAACCGTAGTGCACTAGGTTGGACTAAAAAAGTCGGACTATCATTGCCGCATCTGAACAGTAGTTGTGTCTGTCGCAGAGTAAGAGCATTTAGTAATGTTCTGATGGCATGAGGGCAGGTCCACATGGGCAGAGTGACTTTACCTTGTGCAGCAGGACTGCCCTTGCTGTGCACATGATGCAGTTATTCTGTGTTTGGGCCTGGTGAGTCAGTTTTTTCAGACTTGTGCTTGGGTAGGGTGTGTTCAGGAAGTATCCTACAGAGCCTGTATCTTCTTTTCGAGAAGATTAGTTCAGAAGCTAGGTCTCGTCAGCTCATACTGCAGGATGTTCCTCCTGTGTAGTGCAGTTTTAAAACAGTTGGTTGAAAATTACTAATTCTTTCCTGGGGGAAAAGAGGAGAGAGGGTAGTGGTAGAATGAGATGGACAGACAATGACAGGGCATGGGACAGCTAAACACAGAACAAGTAAGTTTGAGTTTGGGTAGAGTTTCTTGGGTTTGTTTCTCTTTTTTAAGAAGAAGCTGTGTCTGAATTTTGAACTTGAAAGATCTCTTCTTCTTCCTTGAACAGGAAGTCTTCTCCCATGTCATTCCTCTCCCCCCCCGCCCACAATCCCTTTAGTGAGTTAATGTGATACTGATTTTTTGCCTTTTTTAAATTTATTTTTGTAGTTTAAAATAAAAAACTCCACTTATTCTGCTTACTACAATAATAAATTGCACACATGTTCTTTTCATGTTTACAAAAATTATTATTGATCCATAAGGTCAAGCTGAACAGTTAAAGTTCTTTTCTAAAATAATTTTTTTAGTGTATGTCTCAGATAAAACTACTAAATAAAGGACTTCGGTTAGACATGCCAAGCATTCATGGGCTGAATTCAAGTAATTGAAAAATAGTTCAGGTGGCTCTTTGGTCTCTTGTGGATACTGGAACAAACTCAGAAAGAAAATGAGGCATAATGTGTATTTAGCCAGTTTGAACAGTTTAAAGTGGTGATGTAGAATTGTCAGTAAAACAGAATGTTTGTTTTTAGTTCTAACAGCAGCTGTGACACAAGCCTCTCTGCAGTCTATACTCCATAAAATTCTTACTGCTGGACCATCTGCTTTCAATATCACTTCGCTTATTTCTCAAGCTGCACAACTGTCTACGCAAGGTATTCAGTCTTCTTTTCACTTACATATAATTGTTACATTGCATTTTATAAAGGGCAATACAACTGAAACTTGGAGAAGCTGTCCCTTATTATCTGTGGCCACCTGGTGTGGAAGATGTCAAATGACTTCGTTTCCCAAAGATAGGATAAAATACTGTTATGTGGGGAGCAGGAAGCTGACATGCAAATAAGTGAATGTGCTTTTCTGTTTTGCCTTTTGGGATTTTCTTTTTATAGAATCATAGAATGGTTTGGGTT